TCTGTACCAGAGCCGTGGGCCTCGACGAAAAATTAAGCGGAGACGTAAAATTCTATCTCCTCACAGAAGGGAAACGAATCCTCCAGGAAATCGCTCACCAGGAGCTCCCCTGGTGGCCCAGCTCCACTCGAACGGAGCCAGAGAGTGGGCCAAATCCATGACCAAGCAGTTCCGAGCAGGAGACAACTCTACTGCAATGAGATTCTGCCTCACCGAATTACTACAAACACGGTACCACAACTACGAACTCCGTTTCACCGACGGCTCCAAGGCAGGAGGCAGGGTCAGCTTTGGAGTAACTGATGGACAGACCTCACACTTCTGGAGACTCCCCGATCAATGCTGCAGCCCTTCATTACGCAGCTTCCCCACCATCCTCCTCTCCGCTATGTGTACTAACTGACTCTGCTAGCGCCCTCGCGGCACTGTAATCCGCCACCGCCCGCCACCCCTGGATTCAGGCCATACAAAACCACACCCCCCTGGCTCCACTTTCATGTGGATACCGGGACACTGCGGAATTGCCGGGAACATAGAGGCAGACCACCTCGTAGCCATTGGACGTAGTGGCCGACTCGCCAACACCTCGGTCCCCAGACAGGACCTGAAAATTTGGATCAAGTCAACCCTCAGGACGGCATGGCACCGCGAATGGTTCGCCAGGAGGGACCTCTTCATCCGGAAGACCAAAGGGGTAACCCTTCCCTGGACAGATGTCCCAAGGTTTAACGACCAGAGATTCCTGTCCCGGTTAAGAACCCGCATCATCCGCATCACCCACAACATGGGGAGCAGCAGTGGCGGAAACTTCCGCCAAAGATGCGACACCTGTAGAACAACAATGACGGTAGAGCACATACTAATAAAGTGCCCTTGCTTCCACGGACCACGAGAACTCTACGGGATCCCGGGCAACATCCCTTCCCTGATTTTTCAGGTTTTTCAAGGTAGTCGACACCCTGCGTTTGCTATAAAGGGTGAAAACTATTGGAAATGGATCAAACTTTTTGGCCGCAATCAATCAATCGCGTGCTTGCTTTCTATGACTATCGATGGAACAAAGAGAGACAAACTGATTGAAGGGTTATAAGAGAGCGCGGCGAGTCTCCGCAACGAACGTCAGCTATTTCTGTGATTTCGACGATGCCGTCGATAACGAGAATTCTGCCGGTGAAGTGAAGCTTCCTCCACTTGTGGTAAAGAAAGTGTCACTCAAAACGCTCATTGGCGGTTTTGCATCGTTATGGGTCGCAGCTGAGTACAAACTCAGCAGGATCGGCACCAACGTGATGCTGCGTACAAAAGCGGAGTATGAAATGGCCAAGGCGGACTACTTCACGCATGACATCCCTGGTGAGAAGCCCTTCGAGGTGGTGATCAGGGGTCTACCAAAATTTGATCTCAAGGCGATCGAAGATGAAATCAAAGACCGGCACAAGCTGGCCAAAATCGCTGTTCTCCAGATGACGAGGAAAGATGAAAGCGTAAAGCCTTGCCCGGATCGCCTTTTCCATGGGGACTAAAAGCAAAAGAAAAGGGTAATCTCTTGATCCCCCTTCTGATGCAATTTATTTGAGCAATCAATTTGATATTCTCACGGATGATGAGAATGATCCAACATCCAGGCAAAATTCCATTAAACATTCCCGGCTTAAGGTGAAAGTTAATGCCTTTCTGTTGATACTGAATCCACATCCGTTCGAACTACACCCAAATTCAAAATGCACCAATACCAACAAGCATTGCAAATAAGGAAAATGTGAAGCATCGAAATTTTGACCGTATTCGTAAACACAATATTCTTGTATGATTATAATAATTATACTACTGAAATGACAACTTCAATTCAAAGATTCGAAGTTCATTACTTACCGTATCAATCAGACTAAGGCCTTGTTGTCCTCTGCTTTCCGAAGAAGTCTTCTCCACTCTACTTGATTCATGGCCACACTTCGCCAGCCTCGTAGTCTGTGAAGTGTCCACAGGTCGCCTTCTACTTGGTCAATCCACCTTGCCCACTGCGCGCCTCTTCTTCTTGTTTCTGTTGGGTTGCTTTCTAGAACCATTTTCACTGGGCAATGATTACGACGTGTGCAGCCCACCGTAGTCGCCCAATTTTTGCAATGTGGACGATGGATGGTTCTCCTAGCAGCTGGTGCAATTCGTGGTTCATTCGCCTCCTCCACGTTCCGTCATCCATCTGCACTCCACCGTAGATGGTACGTAACACCTTCCGTTCGAAAACACCAAGGGTGCGTTGGTCCTCCACGAGTATAGTCCAGGCCTCGTGGCCGTAGAGGACCATCGGTCTAATCAGCGCCTTGTAGACAGTAAACTTCGTGCGGCAACGAATTTTATTCGACCGGAGCGTTCTCCGGAGTGCAAAGTAGACACGATTCCCTGCCATAATGCGTCTTCGAATTTCTCTGCTGGTATCATTTTCGGCGGTCACCAATGAGCGCAAATACACGAACTCAGCGACCACCTCGATTTCGTCACCGTCAATCTGCACTCGGGGTAGGAGGCTAACATTGTCTTCCCTAGAACCTCTTCCATTCATGTATTTTGTCTTTGATGCGTTGATGGCAAGTCCAATCCGTTTAGCTTCAGCCTTCAATCTGATGAACGTTTCCGCCATAATGTCAATGTCATCGGCGAAGCCAAGAAGCTGGATGGACTTTCTGAAGATCGTGCCACTCGTGTCTATACCAGCTCTTCTGATCACACCTTCTAACGCGATGTTGAATAGCAGACACGAAAGTCCATCACCTTGCCGTAACCCCCTTCGAGATTCAAAGGGACTCGAGAGTGTCCCCGATACTCGAGCAACGCACATCACTCGATCCATCGTCACCTTGACCAATCGCGTCTGTTTATCCGGAAATCCGTACTCGTGCATAATATGCCATAGCTGATCTAAGATTCGAAGTTCAGGGAAGTCCTACTAATGCTCAGGGAAGTCTTGCCGTAGTTCAGGGAAAACCTGCTGAACTTCAGCGAAGTCCTGATGAAGTTCAGGGAAGCCCTGCCGAAAGTTCTGCTGAAAGTTCTGCTGAAAGTTCAGGAAAGTCCTTCCGAAGTTCAAGGAAGTCTTGCCGAAATTCAGGGAAGCGCTGCCGAAGTGATTTATGAGATTTTTCGGCTGGTACGTATGGAGATTTATTTTATATGGCTTTCTCAGTCTAGAGTAATCCAAACAGGGTGATGCAAAACTGACTGTTTGGATTACCCTAGATTGAGAAAGCCGTACAAAAGAAATCTCCTGCCGAAGTTCAGAGAACTCCTTCCGAAGTTCAGAGAAGGCTTATCAAAATTCAGAGAACTCCTGCTGAAGTTCAGCGAAGTCCTGCCGAAATTCAGAGAAGTACTACCGAAGTTCAGGGAAATTCTGCTGAAGTTCATGAAATTATCTAATTATCTTTAAAAATACCAAGATATAACAGAATACCTTCAGGCTGAAATTTTCGCAGAATATCCTCATATACTTGTAAAACAACATTTGATTGCTTAGGAAAACAAAATCTAATGCTTGAAATTGCGTTACAAAAAATAGTTTGCATTGAAATAATGCATTGCATATGTTGTCTTCGGAGGAAATGTTCCTAACAATATTTTGAAACGATCTACGGGAGTGAAATATGACGTTTCATACAAAATACTTGCGTAATTGTTGAGCAAAGTTAGCGACCACTATGATTGTGGTCCTAAAATTGAACTTAGAAAATGGTTTTCAGAAAATTTAAACAATAAATCAATCTTATAAAAATTGCTAGAGATAGCAAATTTCAGTTCTTTAACTTTGCACGGAAGAGTTTTTTCGATTGAGCGCTGCGTTATTTTGTAAAAAAAAATCGATGGCTGAGTCATTCCAATCCGATCCACTTTTACCTTAATGCCAAGAAATAAAAGGTCCCTTATATTGTGAGAACCACTTCCGATTTCCATTCTCTTCGCATGGAACTTTTGTACTTCGTTAAATTAAAATTTTCGCTTCAAATTGGTCGCCAGTGTATTGTGGTGAATCCCTTGTATTGGCTGAAACATTGGATTTATTTATACGTCTCTCAAGTACATTACTGGGAAGCAACATATTTTTTGCATATACGACACCAAAACTGCCGGCGCCGGTGGTGTAGTGGTAAGCGTGACTGCTTTCTAACACCCCAATGGGTCTGGGTTCAATCCCAGCCGAGGTCGGTTGGATTTTTCTGAGGCATAAAAATCTCTGGTCACGTCTTCCTTCGGAAGGGAAGTAAAGCCGTTGGTCCCGGCCCATGTGTGTTGAATGGGTGCGATATCCTACGCAGGTGTGGAAGCTGCCTTCCTGCACATTCGATTGCCGTCAATGGATGACAATCGATGTCCGTCGGTGATTGGCACTAGATTGCGGAACAGAGACCGACGTTAAATAAAGGAAATAAGACACCAAAACTGAACGCTTGTTCAAGGTTGAATTGAAAGGTCTGCCCAAAGGATCAGATCAAAGATGAATTGAACAAATTACTTTGAGTTGAGTCAGTCCAAGTAATCAAAATGAAAATGAAATTTCGTCCTGGCGTACATTAAGAAATAGTACACCTTCGAGAACAAAATTAAAAATTATGATTTGTTCTGACCCAAATAGTAATAAAATTGCCTTTATGAATCCTGCTGCCGCACATTTTTTATTCAGAAAAGCATTCTGCGTGAGAAACCAAATTAGCACTCTATTTTACTACTGTTTTAAAATAATCATAACGCATAAGATAACCCTAAGTCCTTTTGCTTCATTCCTCCCAAAAGAGCTATCGAAGCGGTCGTTCATTCGTTCATTCAGCACTAGTTCTTTAGAACCGTTCGTGAACGGCTTGCCCATCTCAAACATTTCTAGTCCGATGAAGACAATTTCCGAACACTGTCAATCAATGGTGGCTGTGTTGATTGAATCTTAAACTCTGAGATCTGTATAATTCCAATCATACATCTAATCCATCATTCCCCTTTTTTCCCTTTCCTTCCAGACAACCGGCTAGTCTGCGACTGCCGTCTGCTGTGGCTGTTCGATTTGCGCAATTCCACCAAAAACAAAAACCTCCGGAACACCCTGCAGCAGATGGAATGCCTGTACGAGCCGAAAGATAACCGCGGACTGGTTCCCAACTCGATCCAGAACCAAATGAGTGACTTTTCTCGGCCACATGACATACTCGGATACGATGACAGCACCGACTATGAAGACCCACTGCACCATCATCACGGATCGTACGGACTGCAACCACCGCCGGTTCATCGAAGTAGTGGTGTTGCCAGCAGCAGTAGCAGCAGTCAGCAAATGAACCATCACTTTCCGGCCCCGGTCAACGGATATCCACCGATTCAGGATCACTACGATCGAAGCGTGGGCCCACCGGCAAATCAACCCTTGAAAACCATCAACGGCAAGCAGGTGGTGACGCTTATGAAACTGCGGAAGGAGGACTTCCTTCCGTGTGTCAAGGACGGGCCCACTGAGCTACCACTGTCGCGGGAATCGATCGCAGTCGATCCGGGCTCGCGGTCGTCGGTCAGTGCGTCTACCGATTCCGGAGGTCCGACGCTGGGACGGAGTCTAGGCTCAGCCGCCGGGGTGTGTCTGCTGGCGGCGATGTTGACCGCAGCAGTGTGTTAGCTTTAAGCTTGCTGGAGGGGATGACGCTGGTAACTGAGAAAAAGTGAGGTAGTTAATGAATTTTATAAGTAAATTTAAAGTGCATCCCAAGGAATAAAAACGATGCTATGGGCATTTAGATGAACCTGTAACGTTCTCAATGTGTACTCGTGGAGTAAGGCTGATTGCGTGTATAATGGTTTCTGTGCGTGTGCGTTTAGTGGATGCTATCCAAAGTTATGTTTGTGTTTGATTTCTCAATTTAGTTGTTCTGCGAATTAGGCCAATTGGAATATCGACGCTTGGTAGGAACTGAAATCTATTAGTTTTAAATAGTTTACAGATTAATGGAGTGTGCAATGTTCAAACCGTTCGGGAAGGTATGATTAAAATATGCTTCGAATGATTGAAACAGGAGGCGTAGTGCTCTTTCAATTTCATCGTAAAATTCCAGCTGCCGTATCGAATACCACCGCACAGAGGTCGGAGATGGTAAAATCACGAACTTAATCGAATTGTGTATAAACTATTGACTTAATCTAAAAAGAGTCTTCTGAGAAAATGTATTCCCCACAATTGAAAATTTTCAAAAATGTACCATGGCCTATTGTATGTGTATGTATGTGTGAAGTTCAGCTCATTGACCACACGCTAACCACGTCTTACCTGTCGGATGGCCAGTTGGAGACAGGTCTGAAAAAATCACTGAAATTCATCAAAGTTCACTATGGATGAAAAATTCATTTCATAGTGAATGCTGGTGATTTTCTCATTATTTTTTCAACCCTGGTTGGGGAAAGAGGACGAATTACGGTGCGGCCAACCAACGACGATGGGAGCAGTGTTGCCAGAAGTTATATTTCTCTTGACCCTGCCAGCGTCAATTGACAGCTATTCGCAAGGTGTGTTGCTGTGAGCATTGCACTATGCTTTGGGTGTATCCCACATCCCATTGTTTATTTTCGGTTATGGTTGGAAAACGTCTATTGTTTACTAAATATATTTATCTATGTAATCAACCTCTTTATCGGCAGTTACAGCCGTGATTTTCAAAAAAAAAATCTTAGCCAACTCCAGGTGATAGTAAACGCTGGTTAAGTCTAGCTTGGTGAAAAATGTTGCCTCATTTAGCTTCACTTCCATTTCGTGGAGAAGCTGCAATCTGAAGTATTCTCGTATTATGGCTATGTTTGGACCTCGCATATTCACAACTAATCTGAAGCTGTCCGTGCCTTTCGCAACTGCTGACATCCCACTTATCCATCCCGGTGCTGAGGTTTCCTTCTCTATGATACCCGAGGGGGACGTTACATCTAAATCTAAATTCTAGATGCTCGAAAAATCTCACACTAGCGAATCAATCTACGAAAAATCTTCATTCATTTCCCACATCTACTTGCATCGTACACCATCTTTTTGCAGGAAATCTTCAGAATCGTCATCAATCTTCGTTCTATTTACTCAGGGTGCGCGCAGCTAAGCTCTTCTCCATTTCTTGGAGCCGAAACTTTACTGCTTCTCGGAATGCTGCGGGTACGTTATAGTAGGTGTTCCTTTGTGGAGGGACGAAATGGTCTATACTGAACCTTACTTTCACTCCTAGCGTCTTGGGGAAAATACCCATTTCCTCTATATTATCGCAATTGTTGAAAAATTGACCCACTTTGAGAAGATGCATTTCACTTGACGTTACTCTTTCGAGGAGCGACCGCTTCTACCGATGGATCGTTTGTTCCAACAACACACTCCACGTATAAGGGTTGTTTCGCGGCACAAGCTTTGAGGTTTGTGGTTTTCGGAAGGTCTACTTTACTAATAGTTACCAGGCCGATTTTTCAATCATTTTGCAACTGCTTCCAGTCTTTCCCTCCAATAATGTTATCGTCCGCTTCTGAATCAATGAGAAGACATTTTGTACGAACGCTTGTATGAAAAAGTTTCGAGATGCGCAATGCGGCCCCAGACTCGACCAAGTGATGAGAAAGCACCACGTCTTGAGACACGGGTAGAAATGCTCGAACTCAGAGCGCAATATATTTCAAGCCACTCTTGCTCTCAAGGACCGGATAGCACATCTCCGCCACCAGCGTCGTGCCGGTAAGCTAATCAGCTTTGATCTCGATCACGCTTTTGATCGGGTCCGGCAGTCTTTTCTGTTCAAGACCATGCGCTTGCTCGGCTTCAACCAGGATCTCATCGCTCTACTCTCGCGAATCGCCACCCGGTCCACCTCTCGGCTGTTGATCAATGGGCACCTTTCTCGTCCGTTCGAAATTCAACGCTCTGTACGGCAAGGTGATCCGCTATCCGTGCACCTCTTCGTTCTCTACCTACATCCACTAGTGTGCAGACTCGAAAGAGTGTGCGTGAATGATCTGTTGGTGGCGTATGCGGACGACATCAGTGTGATCGTCACATCGACCAGGCAAAATATCATAGGCGACAATTCATATAGTTTCTGCGGTTCTGCTAACAGCGACTACGACGATGACAACAGTTAACTTAGAACTTACCATTTGTTTAGGATGCTTTCGGCTTCGTGGGACTTTAGGTAGTGATGAAACGTCGCTAGAACTATTCCACAGCCACATACAGGTTTGAGGAAATACCTAGAAATCCCTCACCCATCAAGTGTGAGTTAGGTAAAGGAGTGCGCATTTGATTAGTATTGTCGCCTTAATAGCCCTTCGCTCAACTTCAACTTCTGTTTCATTTTCACACTACCGCACTCTACCTATTCTAAAGAGGAACTTTCTCTAGATTTATAAATTATCGCACGTAAGTTTCATGTTGATGTTGCATCGAATTTTCCTCCCAGCTCTGGAAATCGTAAATTTCACATATGAACAAAACACTTTGATTGAATGTATTAATTAACGGCAGTATTTTATCTATTAACAACAACAACAACAACAACAACAACAATAGCAGCCATGAAACTTGTGCCTCATTTTTCTTCTGGAAAATGCCGTAAATCAGCCCGAGCAAGTATGTAGGTCTAATTAATCGACTGACCTTTCCTTTCGCCTTAGTCTGCCTCAGTTTACGGGTTTGAATGTTGCACACTCGATGGTAGCGAAATGATTTCTAGACGTATAAGAAAGAAAACAAAAAACGACAAAATTGTACATGAAGTTCCGTCACATTAAATTCTAGCAACACATTGACTCGAATTTATTTCCTACTTTAGAAACGATAAATGATGCCGGCGAAGACGATGATTATGACGGCGATGAAGATGCTGATAAAACTCGTAGCTTAGATATAAAACAAAACTGTACATATAGTATTCGGTGTGGTAAATCATGTCTATAAAAAACAGCAAAAAGGATATTAAACAAAGCAAAATGTTCTCCCTCAAGACCCTCCCGCACGGCCCAAATAATAACAGCACAACCCTCCCAAAGAACGCGCGTCCAGCAGAAATCCAGTTTCCCCTCCGATGTCCCCATCCAAGACCTAAACAGCCTTAAGCGTTCGCGAAAAACCACAATCACAAATGAAAAAGTTAAAACCACATTGCTTCGTAAAATTCCTGCTCCACGCACTGAAACGAATCGGAAAGTTTGGATCGCCCTCGAAATGAATGGGTTCGTAAATTTGGCTATTATTGCCTTCGCGGACAATTGAATGTTAGTCCTGGGGAGTTCTTTTATTTTACTTTTTTGCTTTCAAGTCGATAATCCACTGGCTGAATCCGGCGGTAAAGTTGGTCCTCTCGGGGTGCGATAAGAATGCCGGGCGAAAAGAAATTAAAATAAGAAAACCGCACTCACACTCATGCACACATAAAGTGTGACACTTTACTGTACTTTTCGATTTCGCAGACCTCTGCACCCGGATGCCGATTGTGGTCGTCGGTTCAAGTGTTTTTACTTGCCGGTCCTATGGTGGGGTTTTGGTTCGCGGGTAGAGGGGGTTGAAGCGCAGCTGCTCCGGGAAGATCTATTTTGGGGAATTCTTTTGTGCCGAATAAACTTTCGAACAGAAGGTGCTTCAAGCCAGATGATAGTGCAATCCGCTCTTTGGTGGTTGAGAAATAGCTAATAACTTTCGCCCTCAGAGCCAATAGATGTCGCCCAGGTGAATGCATCTGGTTTTCAGTATGAGGATTATCTATTCTCACTCAGAGAGGAAGAGAGGGCCACTTGTACTCAGTTGTCTGTGATATTTCTAATAACGTATGTTACTCAGCGCTTAGTGACTTACATGTTTAGAAAATTCTCATTCAACTGAACAAGAGGAACCGTAACAGTGCGTTACTATTTGGACTGCTATTTTGACAACTTTTTGCGTTGCTATTTAGTTAGCAAACTGGTCGTGGCTATCATGAGCCAAAAAAACTCTTTATGTTTCCCAAATTTAAAATAAATTACATTTCATTTGAACCTAGGTGCTCCAGCTACTACAGTAACTTACCAGCCTTAATTGTTATGATATATATCTTCGGATAGTCTCAGTTCGATTGAAGCTATTCGGTCGATGACAAGGTAGGCACTCATCTTATTTCCTTTCAAAGGTAAGGGAGCAGATGAGTGTGCTGGTTGAAAGATCATATATGATTACTTATGTATCGCTCCCCTCACATTGCTCAATCCCAGGCAATGAGAAGGCGGAATCTCTCGCAAATGTGGGCGAATTTTATGACGGGCATATTTCACTCGATTAATTTAACCATTTAATGCGTCAGAGTACCCTTTCGAGTTGGAAAACCGATTGGGACAATTGAAATCTTGGACGGTGGTTACATTCAATTATTCCTACTGTTTCTTCGAGAGCGTGGTTTAAAGGCTTTCGCTTAAATCGCGACTTCATTCGCGTGATGAGTAGAGCTTGGGGTGAGGTTGTTCAACCACCACTCGCTAGATGCGCAACTCCATAGAATAAACCTCGTGGACAGCAAACACATCGATCACGCAGTTTGGCAATTTACGGATGACGCCGCCAGAGAACGACTTTTGAATACCCTCGAGGCCCAAGGAAGCCAACCCTATATTCCTATCAGAGCCATGTTCGGAGCTCGCGATATCTGCTATATGCAGTCGATTTAAGTGTTTCTGCAAATGTCTAGTATAAGAATTTAATTCCTTTGTCTATTGTCTCTCTTTATTAGTTTTTGTTTGTCTTGTCCCCCCGTCTCGATGAGTCTCATCGTCGCCCACTGGTCACCATAGCCGGTCGAGCTCCAGACGAAGCTAGAACCGCACTACCGTTCATATTGGCGACAACGCTCTGATGAGACAACGAAACCTCACCCCAAGCTCCTCACCTGATCCTATCCATCGACAATGTACCCCTCTAACCTCGGGTAAGCCGCGAGTATTCAGCCCAACTCCTCCTAGACATAGAATTAAGTGAATTTTGTTACAAACAAAGAACAATGTGCCGATAGCTCCGTAAAGTTAACGCGATTGAGCCTTCCAATA